CCTCGTTACTAGCTATCCTGCACCCCGAAGGGCTCGCTTGCCCCCCAAAAAAGCTACTGCGCGTCCTGCAAGTCGCCAACCCACCTCATGACCTAGCCGCCCATCGAAGTGAATTCTGTCTCGTTGAAAACCCCCCCACCTATGCACCTCTCTGTTTATTTCCACCACCTCAAAGCCTTTCTCTCGACTCATCCGCCATATCTCTTGGTTTGCGTTGACCACCGCTCTTTGCAGGTTGCTATCACGCACCGGTACCTCCGGTATCGTGCATATCACTACCTGTACCTTAGGAGAAGTGGCGCGCATGTCATCGACGCCTTTCGCCAGTGTGGCTGCTAGTCCTGCCGCATCTTCATTTAGGACATCGTTTAAACCGCCTGAAATTATCACGAGGTTTCGTCTATCAGCTGTCGTTTTGAGCTTTGCGCTCGCTTGCTTCATGACTGCTTCCAGCTTGCGTCCTGGGAACGCCCCTACTGCAACCCTCTTGTCACCTCTTACCCTTTCTTTTATGGCTTCTGTGCATCGATTTAACTTTGAGTCCCCGGCGATTATCACATGCTGTGACTTTTCAGCTGGAGCGTTCTGCACTTGGGGGCTACTTGCACCTGTGACGCCGGCTGCTTTGTTCCCTCCCTGCCCCACCACTACCTCGCTGAAGCTGGGCCTTGCGAGAGTGGAACCGGCTAAACCTGTTTTTTCTAAACTTGCTTCATTTTCCTTCTCCACCATTCTGGTTGCCGGTTCCCTACTGTTTTCTCGGTAGGTCGCTTCTTGGTTCAGCTTCGCTAGCACTTCCTCGGCGGACTTCAGTCTTTCTCCCATTGCCCTCGTTTTCTCTTGCTCTGTCGCCAACGCAGTCTCGAGCTCGGCGATTCTCATCAGCAGTTCACTCTGGGCAACCATCATTTTCTCCATTTTTTCCTCGACCTCACATTGCCTACACTTCGCGTCAGCCTCTTCTCCATCCGCTTCTACGCTTGAGTCCACTTTCAAACCCACTCCACATCCTGAACACTTTACAGTATTTTTAACCATGTCTTTCTGATACCAATTGTCCCTATACTCGATAATTACTAAATTCAAGCCGTGCATTACGAAAAAAAAGAAAGTCTAAGATCTACTACAAAAATTTGCGTGTTAATGTACGCGCACCTCCCCACGGGGTGGCAAAAGAAAAAAAACAAAAAAATTTCAAACACACGCGCCCGCACTAACTAATAAATACCTGGTGACTGGCCCCCGAAAAAGCCGTACCATAAAATTAGTGCTACGAAGATTTCAACCGCTGCCTTATAATTATAAAGACAAGCTCAAAACATGCAAAAACCCTACTGAAACGTTCCGTATGAAATCTTACCGAAAATATATGTACTCCGTAACATTTTCTTATGCTACATACGGAAAAAATATGGAGTTTTATGGAAATATACGAAAGTTGTATGGCATTTACGGAAAGCTTCTTATGGAATATAAGGAAGGATAAGGAAATTGTATGGCGTATACGGAAAGCTTTTTATGGAGTATACGGAAAGATAAGGAAACTGTATGGCATATATGGAAAGCTTTTTATGGAGTATATGGAAGGATAAGGAAAGATAAGGAAACTTATGGAGCATACGGAGAGTTCATGATGGAAGATATGGAAGGATAAGGAAAGTGTATGGAGTGTACAGAAGCTTTCATAAGGAAAATGCAGAATGTAAGGTCTTACGGAAATATACAGATTTTGTAAGGTGCTTACAAAAATGTGCAATAGTGTATGAAAGGCATGTGGATTGTTGCAAAAATGTGGAAACTCTACAGTTGTTGTCACATTTTAAGCAGGAAATCCGAGCTCTATAAAGTTATAAATGAATGCACAGTGACATATATAGTACGAAAGAATAACGCAGGTTAGTCTGTGTTGTCAGTCACCGCTGTTCACCCTTTTCCAGAATGAATACAACTTCTGCAGATGACCAGGTGCTAAATTCTGTCACACGGAAAATGTGTCATTCACAAGGAATGACAATAACTGTCATTTTACTTGCATGCTGTCACACGAAAACAAATCAGGCAAAAAAAGCATAACTTCAAGGGCTCGTTTTTTGGTAGAAACAATAATAATGAGAACTAAATTCAATATGAATGAATTTGTCAATATTAATGAAAATGTTCTCATTAACATTGGCAAAGAGAAATGTCATTTTAAAATATCGACCATGAGCTTAGCTCTCCTGAGCACCGACAAAAGAAATGAAAATCTATGAAAACAAATTGCATGTAGCCTAAAAATAATTTTTATTGATAGTATGTGCTCCTACAATATAAATACAGCTATACACAACTTGCCACAGCTTCACGACAGAAACGAGGTAGGGGCAGAGGGAGTGGTCAGAAAAATAATTAAGTGTGAGAGCACAACTGATATGTACAAACACTTAATGATGCTTATCACTGATGCACGGATGGTCGTGTATAGAGCTGGGTCGTTTTGAGATTTTCAAAAGCATTGTTTCAGACCGCCATGCAGATTACGCTTCAATTGTAGTGCTACATAAGGCACAACTTATGGGCCAGCTTTAATGAATAAGAAGATTATAGGTTAAACAAATGCTTTCAAATATATCATATTGCCACGTTCCATTTCCCAAGTTTTTGTTATCGTCCCAAAACACCACACGATTCTCAGCGCAAACCGCGCCTGCAGTTTTCGAGAAGGTTCCGGGCTGTAGTAGATCATTTCGATAAGATCACGCCCACTGTGCGAACGGTACAGATTGTTCTAGAACCTACGCCACCGCCAGCGATAACGCTAGAACATTCGACGGCAAGAGTATAAAATGCCGACGCGCTTCGCCGCTTGTCAGTTGTTGATCGAAGGCCGACGCTGCGTTCGCCGCCATCAGTCCGAGACTGCTATCTGTGCAAGACTGCTGCTGTAATTAGACTTTCCCTTTATCGGGCACAGGTTCGCCCAAATAAACAGTTAAATCCCAACACGAAGTTTTCTGTCTTCGGCCACGTCACGACCCCGTGACAATATCATAGCTGCATGGACGCATACAGGCTATGTAAAGCGCAATAAAGTGAGGACGCATGAGCTTCTCTTGATGCTTCAGTTCTACATAGATGCTTCAACTGTGCTGCAAAGAAATTTAACCAATGTCTGTGTGTGCAACATTGTCCATTTTAAATTATCTATATGTATATATAAAATTCCTACTGCGAGTTAAGCTACGTAGCACTCCATAACTCTTCCTTTTATTAAGGGCCATTTTTCAAACAATCAACATTATTCATTTTCTGTCTGATGACTTCGTGTCTGCAATTCTTGGTTTGGCTCGATCACAATTGTGCAGCCCTTATTTTGGAGGAATCAAAAAAACATCAACCAAAATATATTTTGGAACTGCTTCTCGGTGATATTGCCTTCCCTCAACTGCCACAGCTTGAGATGAGTCATATAGCAAGTCTCGCGCATACCTAGGCCCTACCCTTGAAGAAACTGGTCCGGCTGTTAAATGCTCAGTTTTTTCTCAAATAAATTTTTTGGTTTGAGTTTTCTCACTTCTCGAGTCCCTTCACAATCAAGCAGAGCCATTGTTCCCCTTAGTCCTTAATTTTGTTATATTACGAAATAAATAAAAAAATTATTAATGAAAATAAAAATACTAATAACTGTTGCGCAAAAAACACAGTCCCACATACGTACTTGAACGCAATATTGCTTTTATTTTGTTTTAGAACCTAAGGCATTAGAAAAGATAGCAGTACAATAAAAACGTTGAAAAAAAAAACAAAAAAAATATTAAACTTGACGGGACTCGAACCTGCGCCACTTAATTGTGCTCGCGTACGTGAACTGAGTGCGTTAGCTTGCTAAACTATTCGCGCTGAAGGTAGCACTTGAGTTTAAGTTATCTATATAAATTTGCTTTTTACACGCTATGTGCTGGCATATTTATGTACGATATGCGATCGTATCTATTCTTGTGTGCATATGTTTTGGGATTGTATATACGTCACGTGCTTTTCGCATGTCTTTCAACTATAGATTGCTGCCCCGCCGCGGATGAAAACAAGTATTTTTACACCCACACACAAGCTTGAGCAGTTGAAGGTTGTTTCCCGGGGCTCTCTTGCGATTGAGTCGGCCACCACAGGGAATTGGAGTGATACGCCATTAATCCCTGCATCTAGCTGTATTCCAATTAGTAGCTCTATCGCTTGATGACAAATCGAGCGCGGGGCGCGATGCTATTGCGCACGACCATGCCTCGCGTAGCGGCAACATCAGCTGATTGCGCTGGCCGGCTTGCTTCGATTTGCTTCAGAGCAAAGAAATGTCATACCTTGAAAGATTGCGTACTGCACTATGTCAAAATGTTACTGCTTTGTAGCCATCCTATGATTCATTGAGAATTGATAACTCTGATATCACTACTGTAGAGCTTTGCGTCGGCAACACGCACCGAACATGAAACCGCCCTACGTCTGTCGTAGAAGCAGTAGGAGGCTGTCGTCTGCTAGAAGAAAAACAAAACAAAGACCTGCGAAAATATTCATAAGTTGTAACTTGTTTTTTGAATAACCGTTTATCACTTTTAAAGTTATTTTGCCAGATAACGTACATCTTTTTTTTTTCAGTTTATAGCAGCGACAGATGTTTTTTTTTATTTTTCTCACACAGATATCCAAGTCAAATCCATTCACAGCTAAAGCCACATGTTGTTTGTCGTCTTTAGGTCCGTTCGATTCACCTGCACCACTTGGAACCGGTTCATGGTGGTGCCCGATAGGTGCACGATGGGTGCGTGGCTAGTTCAGAAGAGTAGCAGCGGTGTCGACGCAGCCGGATAGCAGCGCCACGCAGAATCGAATGCCGAAGTGCAGTGATTGTGTCATGTCTTCTGCTGTGTTCCAAACAAGGGTGCGTGTGTGTCGTGTGTGCATCCCTGTGTGTTGTTTTCGTTCGTGAATTAACATTTTCACACCTGTAGCTTTTCTGTACGAAGATGAATTCTGGCCTGCTTTCAACTGTCGTGCAAGTCGCCATGGAGCTGATGGATTCTGACAGCGACGAAGAGTACGATGACTTAGTCACAGCAATAGCAATGAAATCGGCGAGATTGGACCGAAATCGCATGCCAAGGTATTGTGAGGACGTTGTTGACCGGTATTTTGGTTTCGAGTTTAAACGGATGTTTCGGCTGTCACGGGAAACGTTCGGGGATCTCGTTGCCCGCTACCAGACGTCCTCGTTCTTCCCAGATTCTCCTGGTGGTCGCCCACGGATTAGTGCAAACAAGACTTGCTTAGTAGTGCTGAGCTACCTCGGTAGCCAGTCGAGTATGTACTCCCTTGCCAAAAGATTTGATATATCTGAGTCGTCAGTGCGCACGTGCATTGAGCGCGTATTGAACTTTTTACTCAGTATAAGCGAAGAAGTCATTTCTTGGCCAGACAGTCGTGAGCAAGAACGGATCAAGACTGGCTTTTTGCTAAGAAGTGAAGGTAAAGGTCCGCGCAACACCATAGGCTGTGTGGACGGTTGCCACATAGAGATTAAGAAGCCGGAGGAGTCGCCGCATTCGTACTTTAACCGCAAGAAATTTCCATCTGTGGTGCTCCAGGGAATATGCAATGACAGGAACAAGTTCATTGACGTTTTAATAGGATTTCCTGGATCTGCACACGATGCCAGGGTGCTTCGTGAAGGCCCTTTCTTCGAGGTAGCTCAGACGAAGTGTGCAGACAGTTACCTGCTTGGAGACTCTGCATACCCCTTGCTTCCGTGGTTGTTGACACCATACCGAGATAATGAACAGACCTTTCCAGCATGGTAAAAGCGCTATAACAAGTGCCACTCGCAGCAGAGATCTGCCATTGAGAATGCCTTCGGTCATCTGAAACAAAGGTTTCGAAGCCTTTGATTGTAGCAGCGTCAACAAAGTAAACAGTGCTGCCTTATAGTAATGGCTGCTTGTGTGTTGCACAACATATGCAACAAAGAAAGAGGTTTCCTTATTGAGCTCCAAGAAGCTGCAGAGATTGAAGAAGTTGGAAATGATGATGAGAATGATGTCACAGACCGAAGTTTGGCTGCATACAGTGAATGTCTGAGAAAGGCTATTGCTCAAAAGCACTGTTAGTGCTTCAATGAGTATTTTATGAACGATAGTGTGAAGTGAGAATGTGGTGAAAAATTTGTGGTATGAAAGAGTCGACTATAAAGTTGTCTAAGAAGAACAATTTTGATTCATCTCAATTTATTCGCAATTTTTTCTACATTGGCTTTCTACAGCAGTCACTAGACGTTCAAGAAGGCTCATTTTTGCCTTCGACCGCTCCTCCCTCTCTTTCCGGCTTTCTCTAAATTCCTGAAGGAGACACTGAATTGGCGTGCAATCCACCCTTTTCCTTTTTTTAAGGGGTTGGCTTGACGCTTCTTCAGCTGCAGCTGGGTCTTCGTGTTCCGCAGGTTCTTCTGAGCCAGAATATGCAGCAGCCGCACCTTCTGGTCTGGCAGGTTCTGCATCCTCAGATGCACTTACTGGTGTATGATCACTAGGCCCGCTTGCATTGTGGCTGTCCCTGAAATGAATGTAACCTCACAAACATGAAATATTTACATTTCTTGTACAATAACTTTACCTGTTCTTTTCAATCACCCTTCCTGGGGTAATCAATACTGTCGGGGTGATGTGATGTTCTTTTTCTAGAACATCACTCAGTTCTTTAGAAATAAAAAAATATTGCTAATATGGTGATGAATAGCTGAATATAACCTGTACTCACTCTTCAAATTCGCAAGACACCCTTCCACTTCCTGAAGAGTTATTTTTTTATTTGTTCCGTTTGTAAGCCCGCTCGAGACTTTTCCATTTGTTCTGTACTTGCAGCGGGCTACACAGACATTCAAACTCTCTAGATATCATTTCGGCAAGTGTTTGCCACAGGGCCTTTTTCGTGCTGAAAGAAATACATTCAAAATACAATGATCACAAACAGAAAGACTTGGCATGCGTGAGAAACAACATGTATAGGTTAGACATGTGGTGCATTTCACAATTACTCCAAATAACACTTACCGAAAGCCACCCTTTTTGCCGACAAGATCTTTAAGCTCCTTATATTTGTTAATTAAAAATCTTGTTTTCCGTTCGCTCCACAGCTCAGGCTCTGAAGGATGTTCACTAGCTTGGCTGGGTGCCACAAGTGGAACGTCTGACAAACGTTGACTAGCATAGTCATGGTCATCACAGTTTTGTTGCTGTGGCCCATTGTTCTCAAAAACCAATGTGATTACTGTTCCATCTATAAAGAAAATGTAGCAAGAGTCATGCTTCAGGAAGGCTTTGTTGCTGATTGAAAGGTTGCATGATGCCATTTCATTTGACAAAATCGTACATCTTGTAGGAAATAATGAAACCACAGATGGGCATGAAAGACAAAATATTAAAAGAATGTTATATTTTGCACCTTTAAATACTTGTATTACTGCGTACTAAATTTGGGGTAATTGAACTGCTTGGGACTTGCGAGCATTATTTTGTTGAAAAAAAAAAAGTGGTCATGGAGTAACCTTGCTTTTTTTTTACACACTGAACCGCCATTTAATATACACAACATTGTGAAGATCGCGAATATATTGAGATAAAAAATACTGAGGACCTAACAAAGAGCCACAACGTGAAGAATGGAACGATTTGAAAGGCTCCGCAAAAGACGACGGAAGGCAACGTCAAAACTGTTGACCGTGTACACGTGCTTGCGAGATATTTCAGGGTTAACTTGCTTACCCTGAAATCTCTCTAACGTGGCCATTAAAACTTCTTAACATGCCCGTAGTAACATTATGCACAAACAATAAATCGTACACAACACGTCGCAGTTAACGTTTTTAAAGCCTTGTTAAACGGCCTTGTGTTAACAAATGCTGTCCACCCGAGAGCCTGCAAAGCGATTGTGGTGCCAAAATATGCGAGACGCGCATTACACGCCCGTCCGAATACCAAGCACCGCACTGGCGTCCAGCCTAATTTTGTGTCGAAACGTTCACATACTTATTGCTCTAATTAACACAGGCGCTATGAATAATAATCAGCAGACAAAACAGGTGTATGCCTACCAGGTGCACTGTAGGCAAAACCGTCGCCCTGTGGAATTCGGCTTCCGTCTTCGCTAAGGATAGGTGTCAGGAGCGTTTCCACGCCGTCTACGTTTGTTCTCACCGCCATCGTCGATGCCAGAGCTGCTGCTGCAATCGTCTGCTTGCGCTGCACCACGCCGGCACTGTACCGGCACCCCCGCGACCAGAGGTGCAATAAAATGCGGGATAAAACATGAACCAAGGCTGCACCTCTCTCGCACTTTTTGAAACGAACGGCGGTGTGCAGAGGGCGCTTGGCTGCACCGCTGAATCGAACGGTAGGGTGCAGCACTTCGTGAACTGGTTCTCGTGGTGCAGGTGAATCGAACGGACCTTTTGTTTCTGTGGGCATGCCATTTCGGTGCGTGTCTCATGTGTTCGCGCTGCTACACACGAGAGCACGAAATGTTAAATTTACGCAAGGAAGCGCCGTTCCTCGTTCGTGTGATGTGCTAAGATTGCGCCCTATTCCCGCGGTTGTTCGAGTGCGGATCAAGTGCGAGTCGTCCAAGGAATCGGCGGGTTGGGCGGGCGCTCGAAGGACTCCGAGGTGACGGCTGACACCTGTGGTCGCTTCCCTCAGGACAGTGTGAAAGAAACTAAAGGTAAGGGGGACACTTGTTTATGTAGACCAAGTATGCCACTCAGTGCAAGTGTGTGTTGCTGCACTTGAACGAGGCGTCGTGAAATGGCAACCTTACGCGCCTTTGCGAGTGCGGTTGCCGATTCGCTTTGACAACGCTAACGCCAGCAGAGCCATGGCGCATCGGCGCGGCCTTACTGGAGCTAATTCGAGACAACTGCGGCAACATGCATGTGTATGGTGATCGATTTTTTCATATGTGCAATGTAGTGAGGAAGACGCACACGGCGCTTGCTACGTTGTTGATTAAACGAAGCCTGCAGTGCCATTCGATGCAAAGCAGCATTTTGTTTACATTCGCGGGCGATACAATTTGTAACTTGGCTCGATTCACCTAGCCAACCGCCTAAGTGGGTTGATTAGCATACGTACACGGTAGAGCGTTATTATGCCCCTAAACAGTGGCGTGTGCTTGTTGAAAGATATAATGTGTGTGCCTAGTGTAGAGAGAGAGAGGGGTGTTCGTGCAATCTGCATGTGTACCTGCAAGACGCCTTTGCTTGTAACTAATAATGTACCGGCCAGCACCTACATTGTACGCCTGACTGAAGAAAACTTGCATGCACAATGTGAGATTTTGTAATCTGCCAGAGTTGCTTTCTATAAAATAATACACTGCCAGCTTGTTCAAAATATGTTTCGCTGCTGTGTGGCAGGGGTGCGGTTATCACGCTGTTGTGTAGTTGCTGATGCAAGCACTTATAGTTTTGATGCGTTAATATTTCTCATCTAACTCATCAGGTGTTTAGCTGTTTCAGCACAAACAAGGCAAAGAGAGAAGGAAGACGGGTAATGACAGGACCAGTGCAGACTTTTGTTTGCAGGAGAATACCCATGTTGGTGTATTTATTGTGACAGCCTTTCTGTGTTGCTTTTTTGCCCAATTTATGCAACAACACAGTTGTCAGCAATATGAGAGAGAACACTGAAATGAGCTTTTAAAGATCATGGTGACTAAATGCCTAGTAACTCACAGCACAAAGTAACAACAAAAGACATCAGTATGATCAATGTGGATGAGTACAGTCTTGCATCTAAAAAATATATTGTGCAAAATGTTGCCTAAGTAAGAAACCTCTCTATGTTTGCAAATAGTGTGACGTCACTTCGAGCACCGTGCCAGCCATTCCCTCTCTCTGTGCAAGGGCTGGTTGGCAAGGAAGTTGTTTGTGACGTTCCTAATAGACCACTGAGATGTATGCGATTCTAAACCTGTAGCCTAATATATACGTAATCTTTTGTGCAGTTACATCGCTGCATCTGACACCTACAACTTATTTGCATATTTACATTGCTCCCTTAGGACCTAACACACAAACTTGTTGTTTGCATTGTCACTTCATGAATATCGAGCGGTAAAGGTACTGAGTATATGTGAAACAAGAATCTGCTTATTACATGAAGAAATATGAGGCCTTCGATAAAACGGGTTATACCTTTATTGAGCTTGCGTACTCGTCGGGGCGATTCATACATGCAGCTTCAGCAAATGGTATCTTCCAGCCCAGTGACCTTGCAATTTTTTTCTGCACACAGCGCAAACACCGAGATGTACCCACTCACAGATGGTCACGTCAAGTGCATATTTACCTTGACTAAAATGTCGAATCAAGTTTTTTCATCGACCGGTCCCTGCCATGAGTGCTAGTCTTCGCAAACAAGACACATTGTTATTGACACTGCACACACCACACTCAGTATTCTCAGTTGAACCGATATTCTCAATACCTTTCAATGCACACTACATGCCGCAATCAACAGTGCACATTTTTGAAGACTATGCCGCTGTTGCTCGCACAGGCCACCACGTGTGTTCACTTCTTCAAGATAAACAGACAGCGTGGCAAATATTTTACCACACAGTTTACCAATCAGCTGGATGTTTGCTGACACATACTACAGCTAATGTCGACATTGTAACGTGAAGTGTAAGCTTTGAAAAATTAAAACTTGCCCCAAACACCGCACGACTGTACCGGGCTGAGCCACCAGCGGGAGTGTTTTTCCAGCCACACCTTTTACATGTGCCAGTGACATCATGCTGTGACGTA